TTAAAAATAATAAATAAATAAATATCAATTGTTGGCAATAGCCCGGTTTTTAATTAAAAAGGTGTACGCAAATGCAGGAAATTTTTTAAGTGTAGCAATCTGTTAACTTATGCAGTTAGATTATGTATTTATATGTACAACATTTTCATTTATTATAGCGCTTACTATAGTTCTTTGATTTAAAAAAAATTTTTTCTATCCGAATATATTTTCAAATTCGGCAATCTTATTGGTAGATTAGTGACCCATCGGTCACATGATTTTTCAAATCTGATAACCTCCCAAACCTGATACAAAACTTATCCACTATGCATACCGGTTTGGGGAGAGCCGACAGTATCTGTTTTAGCTTAGTCTCAAGTATATTTTTTTCTTTTACTATTTGTTCTAATTCTGCGATCCTAGTTATAAGCTTAACATTTTCTAGTTTTAATGAGTCAACTTTGGATAAGTCTTTAGATTCGTCTCTTTGAGTTTGCATGTTGGATATTAATTTATATAACTTTATTAGAAATATTTAAAAAAAAAATTTTACTGTATACATTTTAAAAAATATTTTTTCTTAATAGTTAATGCTTTTAATTTTAAATAAAAAAAATTATATATGTGTGACAATTTGTCATGCTGATTACTTTTACTAAAAAATATTTTTAATCATATGCAGGCTAATATAGTATATATCAATAATAATACTATTACAAGTGGGATAGCCTTCTTAGTTTATCACCTGCAACATAGCACATAGTGATAGGAATTTCTAAAACAACAGAGCAATGGTGTAGAAGTAGAATGTTTCCTCACTAGAGCAGTTTAGTATATTCATTAGAAGCATAGAAACATGGTTTACTTTAGGGCAAAGATATATTTATTTATTTATGATACAGTGCGGGATAGCAAAAGCCATATATAAAAATACAAATAATTTAAATTAATATTATATGTTTAGAACTAAATATATAAGGACCAAAATTCCTACCAAAGAAAAAACAGAATTTTTGTTGGAGAGTCGTGGTCTAACGTAGCGGTTTGTCTAAAGGTCAACAGTTTTACTCTTCTGGGACTCCTCTATAAGTTGTACATTCAACATACAAGCCAAAAGTGTTAGTATACAAGATAACTGGCTGGAGGTGTGCACCCTTGGATACAAAATTTTGGTGAAAAGACAATGGTCGGCCTGTCAACAAAGTTACTTAGGTTGTTACTTCTAGTGGAAGAACATAGGGAAAACAACAAGGCTTTGCTTTTCTTCAAGCTGCACTCTTTTACTTGATCAAGTGGTTCCTCTTCTACTTCTACTCGCCTTCCTGTCAGTCTTTCAAAAAATTTCGACAAAAAGTGGGGATTTGGCTTACCCCCTCTAAAAGATCGGCATTGTTTACTTCCCAAATCCGGACAGATTAGTGGAATGCAACTACGTGTTTGTTTACAGACGAATATGGCACTACATCAAGGGACTCGATCTGGGAACTCTAATTATAGCAGCAGGTGGCTTGAGATATGGGTTCTTAGACGATGGCAGCACCTGGCTCGAGATACAAATTAAGACAGGCAATGGAGCTATCCAGAGTCGGTGAGAAGGTCGGAAAATAAATTTAATATTAAGACATAGTCTTATAGTAGAGATATACAAATGTTGCATTTGTTATATAATTTTTATATTTGCCTAGCATGGGTTATAATAGTGCTTCATAGATTGTTATATTTCTTTCTGTTTTTTTTTTTTGCAATTTGTGTATGTTTTTTCTTTTTCTTTCATTTTCGTACAACCTGTTTTGAAAATTTCCCTCTTTTGTCTCGTGCCTCTTGAGAAGAAGGAAGAATTAGAAGGGAAAGTTTAACAGTCATGAATTGGCCATACAATAGCCAGCGAAGTATCAAGGAGTATCTTTATAGTACCAAATCCATTGAAAGTTTTGGATCCTAAGAGAAGTGAATAGTTGTTATGACAGATTAACTTGAGCTTATACTTGGGTAGTTTTTATTAGATAGAACCACATTTATAAAAAATTGTTGTATTCATTTATGATAGTTACATGAAGTTCACAGAATAAAAGCATGACTTTAAAAAAAAAGAACTAAATATTTAATATTTTTTTTTTATAAAAATTAATCTTTATTAGTTTATTTATATTTTTTATAAAAAACATTTAAATTTTTATAATATTGCATTAAAAATTTTCTATTTTTATATTGAGATTAAAAAATTGGCATCGATCATATGAAAAAAATTATCCAATAAAATTTTAGTATCATAAAACTGGCCAATAGAATTTTATGTAAAATCACGTAACACGAGCTACCAATTCGCCAATTATTCGAAGTATTTCACCACTATTGTAGTGTTTATCATTAGTATAATTACGAACATAATACTTAAGATTAGTTTTAAAAAACTCTCAAACATTATATTAATAAGCCAAATTTAAATTTAATTAGTTAAAAAATAAAAGTTCATATCGTAAAAAAAAAAAAAGATGGTCAAGACCATCTTTTTTTTATCATAATCTGTGTAGAATAGCTAAAAATTTAATATCCGCACAAAACTGCAGATTAATTAAATTAAATATACAGTAATACTTGTGCATGATTTGATCACATTATATCACTCTTAGAATTGGGCTAAAATAAAAATTTTATTGCGAACCTTTATTCTTAAAAATGCCAAAAAAAAAAGATAAACTTGAAATTATTAAACTTATTCAATTAAGTTTAATAATTTACTAACCCAAATAAGAAATTAATTAAAATCATAGTTAAGCATGAGTGAAAATAAGATCGTTAATTAACTCCAAAGTTACTAACCCAAATAAGAAATTAATTAAAATTATAGTTAAGCATGAGCGAAAATAAGATTGTTAATTAACTCCAAAGTTACTAACCCAAATAAGAAATTAATTAAAATTATAGTTAAGCATGAGCGAAAATAAGATCCTTGATTAACTCCAAAGTTACTAACTCAAATAAGAAATTATTAAAATCGTATGTAGTTAAGCATGAGCAAAAATAATAATGCTAAAAGAGGGAATAGGCTTAGTATATACATGTGAAAATCTAAAATTTATAAAGAAAGATAAGAGGAAAAGTTAGTAATCATGAAAATGTTTTTCAACATGTAATTTCAAGCAATGAAAATACTAATGATCAAATTAAAATAAATTAGATAGATGAAAGTTCTGTAATTATTATAAAATGAAGTGTAAATAAGTTAATAAAAATGTCTCAAACTATGGCTTTTTAATAGCCTGATAAGAGATTCTTCTTACCTTTAAGTTTATTTTATTCTATTAATCCTTATTATGCTTAGAAATAGCCTCGAGTTACTTATTTTTTATCAATAATTCTATATGAATACCTTTTGTATTAGTCATGGGTCATTTTAAAAAACATTTGTTAGTTTGTTGTATGAATATTAAAAAAGCAAGATAATATATAAGACATGATAGTGATAGCAAAGACACACCTATAATTGATAATAATGAGTATAATCTAGAAAATGAGAAAAAAGCAGAGTTAGTTTTTAAAAGATTATTTCAAAATACTCAAAAGCTAGATATATGAAAAGCTCACACTGGAGATATATGGGCAACTCTGTTCGAACAAGGCAACGAAAATTAAGAGAAAATAAATTAGCAGCGATAGGAAGTCATAAAATAATCCAATTTTTTAGCTCAACAAACAATGCGAATCTAAGTGCCAATAATGAAATAGAAGACTAGTTAGACTATGAAAGTGAAAATGATTCTGCAGAAAGATCTAAACAGTGGAAGCAACAACTTCAAGAAACAGTTAAAAGAATACAACAGTTAATTGACAATGCTAATATATCAAAACCCGATAAGGCAAGATATATTTTAGTAATTCATTACATATAGCTGCTTCAATATAATACACCTAAAATAGAAGCAAGCCTGACAGTAGCAAAAATTCATAATAGAGGTGAGTATCGTGCTAATTGTATACGTACATGGGCAAAAACATGCTTAGAAGAAAAGGTATTACCTCCATCTCAATGTGGAAAACATCTATCAAAATCATTTCTTTATGATGAATATGTTTTGTTAAAAGTTACAGAATATTTACGAGCTACAAAATTTGAAGTAAATCCATCATTACTTAAACAGTTCTTTGAAACAAAAATTCTTCCTGAACTTCATATTGATCAAGCTCAGACTATTTCTTTACGTACAGCATGATGTTGGTTAAAAAAAATGAGATTTACTTATAAACGATATAAGAAAAGAATATATATATATGGATATGAAAAAGAAGATGTTGTTGAATATCATCAAGAGTTTTTACAAAAGATAGAGAAGTATGATAGATTAATGCCAAGGTGGTTAGATGCTAACTGTGAAATTTGCAAAGAACCATATCTCTTACTAGGAGAGAAAAAATATATTTTAATCACTTATGATGAGTGTGTTTTTCATTCTTATGATGGTGTTAATCAATTTTGGATACCGTATAGAGAACTGCCATTAAGAAAGAAAGGTCTTGGTTCTGGGCTTCATGTTAGTGAATTTCTTACAGAAGAAATTGAAAGATTAAAAGATGAAGTAGAAGAGGTGAGAGTAATAATGTAGTTAGGTACAAAACATGAGAGGTATTGGAATGGTGAAAAATTGTTAAAGCAAGTAAAAACCACAATAAAAATCTTTGAACAAACCCACCCTGAATATATTGGAGTATAGGTATTTGATAATGCGACTAGTCATACTGTTATAACACCTGATGCACTAGTTGTAGCCAAAATGAATATATATCCTGGTGGCAAACAACCAAAAATGAGAGATACAATTTGGAATAGTGAACCACAAACTATGGTATATTCTGATGATCATGAAGATCCTCTTTCAAAATCACAACCAAAAGGAATGAAAGCATTTCTTGAGGATAGAGGTCTCTGGAATAATGAAATATTAGCTAACTGTAAGGCATATAAAAAAAATGAACAAGATCCTAATATAATTAACTGTTGTGTATATTGTCTTGTTGCAAATCAACCAGACTTCTTAGCTGAACATGGTTTAATTCAAAAAGAAATAGAAAAACATGGACATAAGGTAATTATGTTTGTAAATGCAAATTTTAATTATTAATACAAGTTACTTTCATTATAATGAAGCAATTAGATCTATTAAAAAAAAACTTTGAAAAATTCGAGTATTAAGATTTAATATTTTCACTATATTACGAATTTACATAATAAGAGTAACTTGAATAATATTTACCACAGGTAATATTTTATCCAAAATTCCATCCGGAGCTTAATGTACTAGAGAGTAACGAAGAAGTGTACAAGAGAAACCTGTGATTATACAATGAAAGTGCTAAAAAAACAGGTACCAATTGTACTTGATTTAATCTCAGTTGAACAAATTAGAAAGTATGCAAGACTTTCTTATCGGTGGATGGACACATATCAGAAAGGGCTAAAGGAAAAAGTAGCCGAATATGCAGTTAAAAGATATAAGCATCACCATTCAATTAATGAGAATATTACTAGCAGTAAATCTTTAAATAAATATTATTTTCTTTCACCTGTATAAAGACTTATAAAATAAATCATTTTATTGAGTAGTATATGGTTTTATAAAATAAAATTTAGTATGCTATTCACTTAAACTGTATATACTGTACATATGTACATACTTACTCTATATACAATCTAATCACCATATAATCCATGTTATATACGTCTAATATACAATACTTAGTTATAAACATTTTTTTAAAAAAGATGAAGTTCTATTTTAATTACTTGCTTTTATACTAATTCAAATTTAAAGCAAATTCAAATTTAAAGCAAATTTTTGAATATAAAGTAATTATAGTACTATAACTAGCCAATCACAATAAGCATGTACTGTATTTTTATTAGTCAATACATGATGCATATGGGTTACACTGCAGGCAGAAAATTGGCGCCTTAATAATAAGTATATGGCTTTTGCTGTCCCGCACTGTACAATGTCTAGATACAAAGCTATCTACAGGTACCTATTTCTATAAAATTCTAATATAGTTACACCTCGATATAGTCACCCACTTGGGATACAGAAATTGAGTGATTATAACAAGGGGTGACTATAAACAATAAACTCTATATAGTCACTTTAATAGTAAATAATAATATAATGTGATTATATTAAATTTTTTTTAAAATATCTATTATATATATAGTAGTAAAATTTTTGTTTAAACTTTGATTAAGAATATCTCAACAACCACTATATCAAATTCAATGAAAATTTTTTTATTTAAATTCTACAGATCTGTAGAATTTAAATAAAAAATTTTTATTAACTTTGATACAGTGGTTGTTGAGATATTCTTAATTAAAGTTTTAGAATTTAAAACGTCTATAATATATATAGTAATAGCTGCGCCAAAATTTTTACCCAAACTTTGATTGAGAATATCTCGACA